TGGAGAAATGAGCAAACAGCAAAAAAAAGAAATTGGCCATAAAAAGCAACTATGGTGGCAGGGAAGAGCAAGACATAAATGCAAAAGAAGACAACAGTGTGAAAATAGCTAAAAGCAAAATCTCAAAGAAAAATGCTATTTGGACTCAAACCTAACAAGAATTCCTGAAAGAGTTAAAAAAAGAAATAAGAATGGTAGAGGAAAAATTGGGAAAAGAAAATGAGAATGATACAAGAAAATTATGGGAAGAGAATTAGTAGCTTGGTAGAAGGCACAAAAAACACTGAAGAAAATAACACCTTAAAAACCAGAATCAACCAAATGGCAAAAGAAGCACAAAAATTCACTAAAGAAAAGAATTCCTTAAAAAGTAGAATTAATCAAATGGAAAAAATAGGTACAAAATATCACTGAAGTAAATATTTTCTTAAATATTAGAATTGGTCAAGTAGAAGCTAATGACTCCACGAGACATAGAGAAACAATACAACAAAGTCAAAAGAATGAAAAAATAGAAGACAATGTGAAATATCTTATTGGAAAAACAACTGACCTAGAAAACAGATTGAGGAGAGATAATTTAAGAACTATTGGACTGCCTGAAAGCTATGATTAAAAAAGAACCTTGACATCATATTTCAAGTAATTATCAAGGAAAACTGCCTCTATATTTTAGATCCAGAGGGCAAAATGGAGATTGAAAGAATTAATTGATCACCTCCTGAAAGAGGTCCCAAATGAAAACTCCCAGGAATATTATAGCCAATTCCAGAGTTCCCAAGTCAAGGAGAAAAATACTTCAATCAGCCAGAAAGAAAGTATTCAGATATCAAGGAGCCACACTTAAGATCACACAAGATTTAGCAGCTTCCATATTAAAGGAGCAGAGGACTTGGAATAAGATAGGCAAAGGAGCTAGAATTATAACTAAGAATGACTTACCTAGCAAAACTGAGTATAATCCTTCAGGGGGACAATGGATATTTAATGAAATAGAGGACTTTCAAGCATTCCTGATTGAAAGACAATAGAACATTTGACATTCAAACACAAGACTTAAGTGAAACATAAAAAGATAAACATGAAAAAGTAATCATAAGCGACCCAATAAAGTTAAATTGTTTACATTTCTATTTGGGAACATGGTACATGTAATTCCTAAAAATTTTTATCATTTTTAGGGAAGTTAGGACTCTACATAGCCAGAGGACAAGGATGTAAATCACTTATTTTGGGCTCATCTCTAAAAAAATGAAGGAATAAGAAAGAGAGGTGCATTGGGAAAAGGGGAAAGAGAGAGGTAGAATGGGGAAAATTTTCTGCACAAAAGAGGTGTGCAAGGAGGAATTTTTTTAGTGGCAGGGAAAATGGGGTTAGTGGGCAGTGTTTGAACCTCACTTTCATCACAATTGGTTCAAAAAGGGAAGAATATATATCCACACTCAGTTATATACAAAATTATAATTTGCCAGGGCAGGTAGGTGGCACAATGGGGCAACTAGGTGGTGCAGTGGATACAGCACCAGCCCTGGATTCAGGAGGACCTGAGTTCAAACCTGGCTTCAGACACATAACACTGTGTGACCCTGGGCAAATCACTTAACCCCATTGCATAGCCGAAAAAAAAATATAACTTGCCTAGTAGGGAAATAGGAGGTGAAGGGAATAAGAAAAAAGTGGGGGCAATGATAAAAGGGAAGGCAGATAAAGGCAGTGCTTAGAAGCAAAACAGACTTCTGAAGAGGGACAAGTTAAAAAGAGAGGTAGGTGATACAAATAGCCTTATTTAGTCCTGTTTTATAGATGAAACAAACTGAGGCTCCAAGGATTTATGTGACTCATCTAAGGCGAATAAAAGCAAGAACAGTTTGTGAGCCACAGGAAGCATCAAGGATGGTTTTTTAGGGTTGTCAGGGCTTGTTTTTTCAGAATTTTGCTTGTCTTTTGGGGATCCATCAAAATTCACCTCGAATAGAAAGACCATGACCCTAGCAGGCTCCTTTGACAGACAGGGCCATAGGTTCTATTGTGTAGGACAAAGTGTTATGTTCCCTTGTGCGAGCTCTGGGTCAGGAGTTCAGAGGCTTCGGCTCTGGTGAATCAGGGCAGGCAGGGTCAATGCCTACCTTCACTGAGGCAAATGGAGTCATTGAGTCCTGGAAGTGGTTCAACAGAGCAGACATTCTTGTGCAGGTCCTCAGTTAATATGAATGAAGACCTGATACAGTCCAGGGCACACATATGACCTTTCTTGAACTTATTAATTAACAGGTTCTTTCCACTATAGTCTCAAATACCATTTGGTTGTGGAGCTTCAGGAACTATTCTTGGATACAATGCCCAACTGGCCAGTTTGGTCAGGGAAATAGTGGGGAAGCCCATGTTTGTGCAATCATTTGGGAAGTGACGGGGGATAGCTCCATGTAAAAGTGAACTTGGACCAGAAAGGTGGGCATAGCACTTCTAAAGTCTTCTCAATCTATCTGGTTTGGGAAAGGGCAAAAGAAGAGTGTACACCTAATGACCGGGAAGGAACTCTAAAGTTGGTTGCCTGGGTGCTACCTGGGCTTATCAAGAGAAACTATCTCTGTAATACTGTTTTCTTCTTCTCCAGTGCCTGGATGATGGCTGCATGGTTTTACAGTATGTCTTGTAGAAGTGGGGTGTTTGTAAGGACCTTCCTGATACAAGCTAAAAGCCGATAAGGCTGGTAGCTCCAGGGTACTACTGGCTGCAGGGCCTCTGTTGCCTTGGAAAATGGAGGCAGAGCTCAGGTGTGGAAGCATCTGGTGATAGTAAGGTTGGATTGTGAATTGACTGCAGGGGCCAACTGAGTCCATCCTGGAGAGTTGCAGTGAAAAGAAGTCATCAAAGGCATGGTTCAAAGCAGTCTAGTCATAAAAAAGACAGGTTATGGAATAAAGGAACAGACAAAGGTAGAGTACCAAACAGAATAGAACAGAGAGCTAGGGAAGTGTAGGATACTAATATGACAGGATTAGAATTAATGGCAGAAGTCTGTAAGGCAAGCATGGTTTAAAAAAAATGTTTTTAGCTTTGGCCTTGGAGTCAGGAGTATCTGAATTCAAGTCTGGCCTTAGACCCTTGACACTTATTAGCTGTGTGACCCTGGGCAAGTCACTTAACCCCTATTGCCTCACCAAAAAAACAAAAAAAAATGCATTTAATATTTTATTGGCACTTTAAAAAACATTACTGTCACTTCCTAATCACCTCTTCTTTTAAGAACCTTCCTTTGTCACAAAGAAGTAATAATAACAATTCACATTTACCTAGTGCTTTAACCTAACCATATAAGAAGTTAAGTGCTATTTCCCCCTTCATTTTACAGCTGAGGAAAGATTCAGAGATGAAAGGAACTTGCCCATGATTGTACACTACTAAGTATCTCAGATGGGATTTGAACCCAGATTTTTCAGATTCCAAATCCAGTGCTCTCTCTGCTATGTCATGTTGGTCATGTCAAGCAATGTACACCTCATTCTTCCTATATGAATTTCACCATTGGTTCTTTGAAGTCTTTATTGGTCATTACATCACTCAGAGTTCCAATGTTTTCTCAATGTTATTTTTCTTTACATTATTGTAGTCATTGTGTAGTTATTGTCTTGGTTCTGTTTACTTCATTCTGCATTAGTTAATACATTCCCCCCCCGCCCAGTTTCCTTGAATTTAGTATGTTCATTATATCTTATGGCACAATAATATTCCATTCCATCCATTTACATACCACAATTTGTTCATCCATTTCCCAATTCCTAGGCACTTACTCTGTTTCTAGTTTCTTGCTGCCCCAAAATACCTAGCAATAAATGTTTTTGTACATGTGGGGCATTTTCTTCTGTTTTTGATCTCCTTATACTATACCTAGTAGTGGGATGGGTGGTCAAAAGTTATGAATTGTTTCATGACTTTTCTATCATAGTTCCAAATTACTTCCCAGAACAATTAGGCCAATTCATATCTATCAACAGCGTATAAGTGTACTTCTCTTTGTATACTCTTTCCAATATTTACCATTTTCATCTTTGCCAAGTTATAGATGATATTCTTAGGTAAAGCCTCAAAGTTGTTTTAATGTGCATTTCTCCTTTAAAAAAAAACTTTTTAGAGGCAGCTAAGTGGCACAGTGGATAGAGCACCAGCTCTGAAGTCAGGAGAACCTGAGTTCAAATCCAGCCTCAGACCACACACTTGACACTAGCTGTGTGACCCTGGGCAAATCACTTACCCCCAATTGCCTAAAAAATTAAAAAACAACAACAACAAAAAAAACCAAAATTTTTTTTTATTGGTATCTTTTAAAAAATTAATTTGCATTGCTCCTATTGAATTGGAACATTTGTTTCCTATGGTTGTTGATAGCTTGCTTTTCTTATATTGAAAATGTCTCCTCATATCCTTTGACCACTTATCTATAGGAAAGATTTTCAATAAGCATAAGCACTGAGAACCCCTTGAGTTGATTCCACTAAGTGAAGCTCTCATTGCAATCCACCAGCCAAGCATCTGACAGCCCTTCTAAGTCCTTGTGGTTTCCTTGTCTTTAGGCAATTAGAAAGTTGGTAGTCTGAGCCCTTAGTCCAAGCCTTTAGTCCCTTGAACTAACCAATTCTTAAGGAATGTTTCAACTAACCTAACCTGAACGGGATTGGGTAAGGGTGGAGAGAGATATTGCTCCAGTCACACTGGGTGTGGAGAAGAAAGTTCTATGAATGTGAGACAACTTGAGCATACAGGCTAGAGGGAGGATTAGATAAGGGGAGCTTGAGAGTGTAATTATATGCTGTTGCCCTTTTTAATACCTCCATGAAAAAACCTACCTCTATGGGGTTAAAGTCTGCATCTTCACTGGTGCAGACTTATGACCTGCTCTTGCTCAAGCAGGTCATATCCTTCTCTTGGACCTAAATTTAGGTGCTTTATATGGGATTATAAAATGGTCCTTGTACAGTGGAAAGAGGGACCCAGTCCTCTTGTCAATGATCTTTTTTGGACACTCTGCTCAACAGTCCTCTTCCTCTTCCCACTAAAACTTCTCTGAATCCAACCCACACCTCCCTGAGGATCCCCTGCACAGTGTCATTGCACAGGGTGTAGATGAAGGGGTTGAGGAAAGGTGCCACCACACTGCTCAACACTGAAGGTATTTTGTTAATCTCCAAGGTTTCCTTCTGGATGGGAGTCACATAGATAAAGGCTGTGATGCCTTCAGCTATCACTACAATGGTCAAGTGAGAAGCACAGGTGTTAAAGGCTTTCTTCCTCCCACTGGCTGATGGGATTCGTAAGATGGTCATAAAGATGCAAGCATAGGAATATCCAATGAGAATTATGGAAAAGATAATGACTGTGGATGACAGTAAGAAATCCATCAGCTCAATGGATGTTGTGTCTGCACAGGCCAGGGCCAATAGAGGTCCACTGTCACAGAAATAGTGGTTAATGATATTGGAGCCACAGAAGGGTAACTTGGAGATGAGTATAGTGGGGAAAAGAACAGACAAGAAGTCACCCACCCATGAGAAAAGAACCAGCCCAGTGCACACAGAAGGATTCATGATGGTGCTATACCTCAGTGGGTTACAGATGGCAGCATACCGGTCATAGGACATGGATGTCAATAAAATAAACTCCACTGTCCCCAGGAAGAAGTGGAAATAGCACTGGGTGATACACCCAGCAAAGGAAATAGTCTTATGCCCAGTGGCCAAGTCGTCCAGTATCCTTGGAGAAATGACAGAGGTGAAGAGGATATCCAAGATGGAGAGATTGCAGAGGAAGAAGTACATGGGTGTATAGAGGCGTGAATGGGACACAACAAGGTAGATGATGACGATGTTGCCCAGGAGTGTCATCAGGTAGGTGGGCAGAAGGAGCACGAAGAATAGTAGCTCTGTCTTTCTGCTGATAGGAAAACCAAGCAGAACGAACTCAGTCACTGTGGTGGTCTGATTCTCCATGGATGGTGAAATTGTCCTGGATCTCTTCCCATGAGGGAACAATAGGAAAGAAATCTGTAGGATAGAACTGATTGATGAACTCTATAAGTTGTTACTAAGCAACTCACAGTAGAAAATTAAATCTATGGGAAGAGAGTGTTACCCTGGGCATCATAATTCTGTGACATACTAGAGTGTTAAAAACTAGGATTTGAGCTTTTCACGGTGTAAACTAGGGTGTGTTGCTGGGCTAAATGTCCCCTTCCCCCCAAAACCTCCCAAATCCCCCCAAATGCAACCTGTTAGAAAATAGATATGAAGTCTTCTTAACCCTCTTCTGTTCTCAGAACTCTTTATAAATAAACCCTAAAACTAACAGCAACCCCACCTTACAGTTAGGAAATATGCATATGATAGAGAAATCGTGTTGTCCTCAAAAGAGCATTGGGACAGGACTTAGGAGACCAGGCTTTTACTGTCATCTCTGCACTAACTAACTGTGATCTTGGATAAATCACTTTGCCTTTCTAGGTCTCAGTTTCCTCATTTGTAAAATGAGAAGTTGGACTAGACTTCTGGTTAAATTTTTATCTCTGAAATTCTATGATTTAATGTCCTGACAGTGGTTAAACAACGCTTATGCCTTCCAGCTCCCAGTTCCCATTTTTTCCCCCATCTTGCCCTCAAAACTGAAAGAAAAGCTTATCCTACCCCTGTTTGAAGTAACTCCTTCAACTTATTAGGGGAGTTTTAATTTCTGTAAATTTCATTTCTTCAATCATACTCCTAAACTTAGAGCTTATGGATAAAATGAAGAGAGAACTCTAGTCAATTGACCTTCTGAAACTAAATTTCCATGGGACTTATTTACTTGGTTTGCTCTCTCACTTGGCTTTATCAATGGTATCTGCTCTTCCTATTGTGTGTGACACATGATAAAGCGAATTAGATATGGGACCTGTGATTTCAGCAGTGTAGGGAACCCCATGATGAAGTCTTCTACCAGTGCAGGTCAGCACTTTCCTCATCTTTTACAGAAAGCTTTCCCCACCCCCCCTTAATTCCAGTGCCTTCCCTCTGTTTAATTATTTCCTACTTATCTTATATATAACTTGCTTTGTACATATTTGCTGTGTATTGTCTCCTCCATTAGATTGTAAGTAGGGACTGTCTTTTGCCTCTTTTTGTGGTCTTGTTCATAGTAGGTATCTAATAAATGTTTATTGATTGATTAAACTTATAATCTTTGAGAGTTGCCTAGTGGCATTGAGAAGTTGAGTCATTTACCCAAGATGATGTAGCCCCTGTGTGCCAGAGGTAAGATTTGAACCCAGGTCTTCCTGGCTTATCTATTATATCACTATTTCCTGTCACATGAAAGCAATGCTACTTCTTAATAATTCATGGTCTCAAATTTTCACCTGTTCTCATAGGTAGCTTTAAATAAAGTGGCCCGATTCTTCCTCCTTCCTTACCCTTGTCCTTTAATCCTGTCCTTCCTCTTATGGCCATTTCATTCCAGTAACATAGTGAGTTGCTTATGAGAGATTGGGACCATAATATTTTCCTGCAATTAGAAGGTCTTCCTTATGGATGCTTGATGTCCATTGTGAACAAAGGGATGCTGGCCCTCCAAACTCTCTCCTAAGATGAGCACAGCTTAGCTGAGAGCAGAGTGATCAAAATGTAATTTAAAAAAAATTCATGGCTGTTATACTAGAGAAATGGGGAAAAATAGTGAGTGTATATCTTTATCTCTATCTATCTATCTATCTATTCATCCATCCATCCATCATCTACCTGTCTGTCTATCTATCTATCTATCTATCTATCTATCTATCTATCTATCTATCTATCTATTGAGAAGGGAAGGGACTACAGAAAGATGAAGGGTTAAAGGAGGGCACAGGTGGCTTTCTGAATATTTGTCCTGGGCTGGAAATTTGCCTAGAATAGGCTTTGTCTGTGAGCAAAAATCAGAAGCACCACTAAGCCAGGGCTTGGGTTTTTAATGCAGGTTTGACCAGGAGCTCAGAGATGGACCTGAAACCAATACAAAAAAGACCTTGTTTCCTCAGTGACGCAAAGCATTCTAGTTTGGACTAGGGGTGGAAGTAAGAGTGAACAAGGGAAACAGAACTAGAGAAGGTGCTAAAAGTCCTGTTTTGGGGCCAACTTATAGTGAGGAAGGTGTTATACTTCTAATTCCTTTCCTGTATATACTCTTATACTTGGAGTCCTCCACACACACTAAAGCCAACTGCCTTTTATTCTCTAATGACTGTGCCTAGCCTCCAGAGCACATTAGAGGATACTGTAGGATGAGGGGTGAAGCCATAGTGTTTGGAATGTGGTCTTTGGATGGGAAATTCCAAGGAATGAGAATAGGGCCAGTGGGAATTTAGCCAGAAGCACTGGGAAGCATTCTCTTGGAAGTATTTGTCACAGAGATAGAGAAGTTTCCATGTGAAGATAGCATGAAAAAAAGTCATGCTCTTTGGTCTCAAAACACAAAGGTTGAGGAAAAATGAGATCCACACCTCTAAAACAACGGTCGTAAATAGAGTGAAATAAAGCCATACACCAAATACTAGAAGGCTAGAATTCCAGAGCACTCCTTAATGCTTGAAGAAAATAATAGGGTTAAAAAAAGGAATGGCCATTCTGTACAATGAGTAGTAAATTCAGGGAATTCACTACATGCAATTAAAATATATAAACAAGATCCAAAATTTTAGATACATTTCTGGGTGACAGTGAGCTGTTCCTTACCATTCCTACCTCTAGAAAACTGCAAAAGGTACCTATTAGCTTATGAGTCAGCAGGCTAGTCTATTTTCTTTCTAGGAGTAGTCCCACCTTGAGTCACCTTCACATCCTCCTTAAACTGGATGCTGGTGGAAACTCCACCTTTTGAGTTTGGCTCTGCTGGTTGGCCCATTGCTCTCACATTTGCTTTTTACAGTCACCACTTGACCCCCAGTAGACATTCATAGTAACAATATTTTGTAAGCAAATACTGATTTTTCTCTCAACTCATTGAGATTATTCCACCTGACTTCTTTGCCTTTGCACCAACCTTGCAGGATCAAATGATATTTCTAAAATAAATGCCTCTCACAAAGCGTACAAATGCTTACTCCCTTCCCCTCCCTTTCTCTCTCACTATAAATTCTTCCCTGACAAGTATTTGAGCCCTACTGGCTGCATACTAGAAAAGCCTATTCAATTTGATTTTTTTAAAAACCTCATCTCAAGAATTTGATCTTTGACTCTGACAAAATAAGAGTTACAGAGTCTGAGTTGGAATGGAAGAGTCCAGCCTGCACCTGAATTTTGAGAATCCCTTCAACAAGATTCCTGAGAAGTAATCCAGCTTTTGCTTCAATACCTCTGGTGCTGTGGAACCCATTACTTCTTCCAATCCAGTAGAGTCTTTAAAGTCCTATTGGCTTTGCCTGTTACTTTGCTAAAGAGAGGAGGAGAATGTGTCTAAATCAGAGGCCCCCTGGCCGATGTGACCTGCAGACTCTGAGTGTGGCTCATTCAGATTAAAATGTAATTGGGAAATATTTAACAAAATAAATAAAAATAGAACAGAACAGAGATAATGTTAATATGTGGTTTTCTATGTCAACATGCCACCCACATGGTTCCTAATTTATGGTTTAGTCTAGATACCTAGAACTGTCTGAGTAACAGGAATTTCTTACAGCTCCTTGCTATCTGATCTATTCAAGACAAAACAGTGGAGCTAGAGAGTGGTCAGCCTGTGTTTTGAACTGATTCATTATTCTTTTTTTCCCCCACCTTTTTCTCACTTATCCTAAGGATCATAGGCTCAGAGTTGGAAGTTCATCTAGTCTCAAACCTTCATTCTACCCTCAAGTTCCCCTTTCTCCTCAGAATTAAGCAACTCTGGCCTTGTTATGCTGGGCTACAAAGTAAATATATAGGTTTTTTTTTTTAAAAGGCACTGGATTTGGCATTAAAAGACTTAAGTTAAAATTCTGATTCTGCTATTAGCTACTAGTTTGGACTAGGAAAAGTCACTGAAACATCTGGGCCACAGTTCCATTTGTAGAATTAAAGTAGTTGGACTAGATGATTTCTAAGGTTCCTCTCAGTCTTAAAGCCTGATCTTTTGCTTCAAAAAAGAGGGAAATGAAAAAGTTGCCAACTAGGTACCACGTTATTCTGCTTGAACTCCAATTTTTCACCTTCACCATAACATTTTAGAAACTGACAGAACATCAGATGTTTAACAATTTTGGCTCCCTAAGCAAGAAACTTGACCCGTACTTCTACCAAATGATCTGAAATAAATTTTAAAAAATAAATTCAAATAGGAGAGAGAAGGAGAGATCCTGGGGAAACCACCTTCATCTGGGAGATGGAAAACTTGGAACACTGGCTCTTCTTAAAGGTGGGGACTCTGGTTAGCCGGTCAGTCGGTAAACATACATTTATTAAACACCTACTACTATGGTAGTTTCTGAGGATACAAAGAAAGGCAAAAACAGTCCCTATCTTCAAGAAGCTCCCAGTCTAAAACGGGAGACAGCAAGAAAACAACTATGTACAAACAACCCATATATAGTGTAAAATGGGGATAGATTCAGAGGGAAGGCACTAAGATTAAGGACTGGCAAAGGTTTCTTGCAGTTGGGACTTCTGTAATATTGTGACGTTGCTTTTGGATGCGACTCTAGGGCCATGTTTGAAACAACAAACCTAGGGTTGCTGAAGGAGTGGGAGAGGAAGATTACAAGTTAGTAACTATTTTAATTAATTATTCTTGGTAGCTGGGTGCTAAATTCAGTTATTTCTAAGCTACTAAAGGTGTGCTATTAGCACTTTCCAAATTTTGGCCCTTTGGAGGAGCAAAGTTTTGATTATTCTGCTTTAGTTATGGCTCCGCAGGTCCTAACCTGATAATATCCTATATATATGCATATATGTACATATACATATATATATTAATGACATACAGTTAAAACTTGTTATAAGGAGCTTCATTA